ACACTTGAATGAGAGAGACAGAAGGAGAGAGAGAGAGAAAAACAGACAGAGAGAGAGAAAGAGAGAATTAGAGAGAGAGTGAGAGAGAGAGATGATTTAAATAAACGAAAAAAAAAAAAATCGAAGATTCCAATGCGGAATGAAAAAAAAAAAAAAACAAATTTTCAAACCTAAATACAAAGATAGAAAGAGAGGAGAAGAGATAGGAAAAACAGGGACAGAGAGATAGACGCAAAAAAATAGTCTAAGAGAACCAGATTTAAAGGAAGAATAAGCAAGAAAGAGAGCAAGTTAAACTTAAGTGTTTTATTACAAAATCCCTCAAATATCATTATCCATCATACTTGAATCCGAAGATTCGTACAGGTGCCGTACTCCACGTCACTATCATCCATCCTACTTCAACCACTCGAACACCAGTTAATCCATATGCGACAAAAAAAAAAACCCACACTATTCATCCCCCACACTCCCACTCTAGCTCCTCCCTCTCCGACTATTCTCACTCGATCACAAGTTAATGCATATGCGACCACAAAGAAAAACCACACTATTCATCTACATCGTCATCCCCACGAAGCTGCCTTCTCCTTTCTTCCATTGCGAACTTCTCGTCAGCATCAACAACGACATCTCCATGGGGGTAAAGGTTTGTCGTGTTGTCACACGTAGGTGTAACAACCATCAAATCATTTATCTTTCTATAGTCCCCCTTTGTTAAATAGCTTAGGCGGCCACACTTTGGACATCGACGCCGCAGAGCTTCAACCAGTGCAAGCACCACCTCATACAATCTGGTCTCATGCTTTTTATTTATGCTCGCGAAAGCATTCAATTCCTTTTTTACATGACCCATCTCCTTCATAACCCGCACCGGCGCATGAGCAACAATGATATTTGCTAACAAAATTCTGAAGCTATACAACTGTTCCTTGCACCTCGCCATCATGCCATCCGTCAGTCCCTCACCACACTGATCCGAGAAACTATGTTGATACACAGTGTCCATTAACTCTTCTCGTGCGTCCTTGTACAATTGTCCGAGAGTAACAACTGTTGCTCTCAACTGGCTATCGCTTACCGGAAAGCTCATTGTATTTTGCACCTCCAAAAATGCATTTCTATGTGCAAGCTCCACGCCAACTGTTCACAATAATTGCAACATACCAATCAAACAACTTTTCGGAAGCTCTTCTAAAGTTCTACCTAATGGAAGCTCAAACACCTCTGATGCAAAATAAGGATCAATCGATGGCAAGGCACCTGCCGACAACAATTTTCTCAATCCACTCTCGGCTGTTTCACAGCGTAGACGCAAATACTCACACTCTTGGGACAGATGCGGATCAACTCTAGTACTAAGCTCAACAACTTGGTCAAGCAAGTCATTTCTAATCGAGGATTGGATTAAAGACGTAAGTTGGCTGGCAATGTCTTCCCCAGCATTTTCCTCCTTCTTCCCATCCACACCACCGAAACCAATCTCTCACCTCTTTACTTTGTTTCCTTTCCAGGAAACTTTCAAGCACTGATCGTGCATTCACCTCAATTTTTGTGAATGCACTCCTCAAGGAAGTCACTTCCGCCTCCTTCTTCTTTAACATCCCAAGGAACTCGTCCTGAGTCCACCGAAGACCTTCATTATCAGTCATATAGCGGCCGCATTCTCCTTTCAATGCGGAATCGTTCGGAACCTTACCTGCAATACCATAAGGCACTTTAGATTTACGCTGAAACAGACGTTGGTCCATGTCATGAATTTGCGAAGCCATGCCATACTCGTATCGTTCACTACATTCCTCAAGGTATTTCCTCTCCGTGCGAGCATCGGCGAGCCATTTTTCGAATACACCATCCCCATCACTACGTGCCCGAATTTGCCTCAGCACATTGGACCATGATATTCCTTCAACTGGCCTATCTACCTGGCTGTCGACCACCACATTTATTTGAGTAGATGCTTGTCCATCTGCGGAGACCACCATGAAAAAGCAACCAACCATTTAATCGATCAAATTGATTGATTGATCGAAGAGAGAGAGAGAGAGAGAGAGAGAGAGAGAGAGAGAGAGAGAGAGAGAGAGAGAGAGAGAGAGAACAGGCACAGAGAAAGAAAAAATGATTGATTGATTCATTGATTGATTGATTCATTGATTGATCGATCAATGGATTAATTGATCAATTGAGCAAGAAAAAAAAGGCTCCGTTGTGCTAACTTCGTCCAACAATTGTCGAGGCCTCGATTTTGAATTAGAAGTGGGTGTATGCGTCGACGCAAGAAAAGGCTCCATCGTGCCGACTCCGTCGAACCCTCAACTTCCAGTTAGAAAAAAAAAAAAAAAAAGGCCAATAAGCACGTAACCCCGTCCTACACCCAAACCCGTCAAGCAGTTTAGGCCCGGTCATGCACCGTATACCCACAGTGCACGCCCAATCTGGGTGTATTCACGGCCTGGGCTTTTAAACCACCAGTACTTGCCCCAGCTATCAATGCCAAGCCAGAATATGCCCTGCCTGCTGATTTTCGCCGAACCTGTGTGTGCGTGTGTGCGTGTGTGTGTGTGTGTTTGTGTGTGTGTGTGTGTGTGTGTGTGTGTGCTGTCTCTTATACACATCTAGATGTGTATAAGAGACAGGCGTCTCGCAGGTCCTGATAATATTCTGACCGCAAG